TTTAGTTATTGTTCGGAAATCATTTTTCTATTTTTAGTAACGGTGACATTGATCCCATGGGGGTCCATATGCGATACCAAACTCGGTCTTCATATAAGGTTCTAATACACTAAGTTTGATTATAATATCTCATTCCTAACTCTAGTTATTGTCTGGAAACCATTTTTCTATTTTAGTAACGATGACCTTGACCTTGATCCCTGGGAGTCCATATGCAATACCAACCAGGGTCTTCATATAACCTTGCTATACACAAAGTTTGATTACAATATCTCATTCCTAACTATAGTTATTGTCCGGACAACATTGGTGACCTTGACCCCAGGGGATCCAAATGCAATACCAACCAATGTTTCTCCATAAGGTTGCTGTACACCAAGTTTAATTACAATACCTCATTCCAAGCTCTAATTATTGTTCGGAAACCATGATGTGACCGACGGACGGATGGACCGATCGACCAACAAGCTGACTCCTATATACCCCCTAATGATCATTTAATTAACAAGAATAAAATGGAAGGTGCTTTATTTTGTCTTTTCTAATAAATATGTTTGATTTGTACATATGGTAAACTAGGCCTACCGATCAATAATACCTGAAGTGAATTTAAATTACTTTAAAATGTAAATACGGTATATCGTGGTTTCGTAAATTCGATATCTTTATATACATTGCCATTCAGAGCGCACGCTTAACAGGGTAAGTCGAACAACGAAACCACGATGATGAAAGGTTGAAAGTACGATGATGAAACACGAAATTATATCGAGTTTTCACTATCGTGGTTTCCGTTATTTCGACTTTTCATCATTGTACTTCCGAATTTTCATCATCGTATTTTCGACTTTTCACCATCGTGGTTTCGTTTTTTTGACTTTTCACCACAGTATTTCATGTGGTCGTGTTTTTAGCTTTATGTGTGTCTAACGGTACACCGTACGTAAATGCAGCAAATGCAATTCGTACAATAAATATGTTTGAAAAGCAAACGAACTGATGTTATTGTTCATCATTAACGAATGAAAACTAGGTAGAAGAACATTCACCATTTTTGTAAAGGAAATGAAGTCAATCAACTTCAGGAAATGTTCTTGTTTTTTTCCTGCCATCAAGATGAAATAACAGATTACATTTAGTTTTCATTATGTTGAAAGTATTTAGAATCATACTTGAAAACAAACTATGAAAGAATTATCTATGGATGGTCATGGACAAAGTAAGCTACACGATGCGATATAATATATTATTATATAATAGATTATAAAATGTTCTAGAATATAGTATTATTACTCCTCATATAAATGTTCACACTAAATCACTTTTTGTTTTCCAATTATATATAAAATATTTCATGAGAATATCAAAATGATACAATTCTACTGTTTTTATCAATATTAAAAATACTTTTGAAAAAGGTGCCCATCGTTGACTAATTCTCTTTAAAGTTACATTTAATAAAATTCATAAAAACAGAAATAGCGACATTTCATTAATAAATTGGGTTTCATATCGACTCCAGATCTTATTTTGGTGTCCAGACAACCAAAATGAATTTCATAAGCATAAAAAATGGACAACCTCATTGTGGCGAAATCGGAAGTACAATATCTGTTTGCATGAGAAAATCCGCCTTCAGATCATCCGTACATCAATATTAAATCAACAAACATGACTATAGGTAGCAGTCCTAATTTAACGGTATATTTGCGCATTGTAACGGATGTTTTCATACAAATTTAATCTTTTTTTATGAGATGATTACTTTTTACTGAACCTCAGGCCTAGTGCACCGTGTAGTTAAACGGTTAAAATGTGTTTGCACAAGAAAATCTCATATTTGTTGTGTTCCGGATAGCAGTTATAACACTGTGACGTAGCGCATACACAAGCTGATTATAATGTTCATTTGCATGTTAAAATTCGTATACGAACTTTAGTGTTACCGTGGGGTTTTCCCTTTAAAATCCTTATTTATGAACAATATTCGATGGGATTTACAACAATACTGTTAAACAGGTTAATGAAAATGTAGAATGCTTGATTTTTAGGCCGACAGCAAAAGACTTTTACATATTTATTTAATGTAACTTTAAGTATTGTTATACTTCTAGGTTAATCACAATGTTAAAACAGCCGGAAGTTACTTTGATGTAGACATACTAAAACTAAACAAGTAAAAGGCACATTAATCCTCCGACGAATCAATTGTAACTTCTTTAGAAAGCGCAAACATGAATTTTATTATATTTAAATAATGGTTTCAAAGCATGTATGATGCTTGTTACCTGAGGAAAGAGATACATGTGAAATAACTTGTCGTAACTGTACAAAATGTAAACAAAGTGGTATTTTTACTTCCATACAAAATATATATTAACTATAACCGTACTTATTTCCAAAAGGCAACAGCTAAAAAGACAGTTCTGATAATTGGCAAATGAGTAATTTGTTTGGATACTAAAATAAAAAATGTATAACTAAATTCAAAAACTTTCGAGAAATATTAAAACATATAAACACTTCTAAGGCAGAATGGACTTTTAACTATTTTAACACAAATGTTACTGTATACCTATTTTTGCTTTTAGCTGTATATACATACAAGAGTTTATAACGATCAGAACAAAGAAGAATAGTTATTTTATCAATAAAATACGTTTTTGTTAAAATTTGATTTTTTAACAGATAAAGGAATTAAAACGTTAGTGCACATAGATAAACTTATTAAAGGTTATGCATGAAGTTAATTATTATAATCAAACTTTAGGCTATGCAAACTTTAGACTATGCAAGAGTTATAAGCTTTACAGTCATATGTACTCATTGACATTCGTGTTAGAGTTTTGCTATTAACTTCATTTCTTTGGTTTTTCTTGAAATCAAATTAAGGTCTTCATAAATCTTAAAGTTTGATTTCACGTGACAGAGTTACTGCGTGTGGTCATTAAATTACTAGATAGAAAGCCTCATTAAAATGAAAATAATTGCTTAAACAATATTCATCAATACCTCTTGACATATATATGGGTGTAAGGATACATTAAGAGTGTCAAGGTGTCGTGTGACAAACGATACGAAGCGACATTTCCATGTTTGTGGGTAATAAATGCTCAAAATGCTGGGGTGTTATAAAGGTTTCAATTATCATTGGTAAATAGGCTCTAATATTCACCTATTTTGGCACTCCGTAGTTCAAAGAATAAATCTAAATATTTTACCTGAGTCTAAAGAACTTTTTATTGAAATTTGAAATTTAATTCACCGTAGATGTTCTCGTGTTAATTTTATTTATAATAACATGTTAAGTGTCAAAGTAAAGTTTTAATAATTTCAGTAAATATATTTTTCCTTCTATTTAGTTGCTTATGTATTATAATACTAAACATTGTTGATATACTGTTCAAAACTTTCAAGATCTGTGAAAGAAAATTTACATTATAATCAATGGATAACTGTTTTATTTCCATTTTCAAACATAACAGTTTTAAGATTCAGTTTTCAAGAAATAAAGATTTCTCCAGATGTAATAAAAGTGGCCTTCATCCGCAACAATTTTAATTTCCCTAGGTATTTCATTGACATTAATATTAATAAAATTACAGAAATAGATGTTTCCCATCAATTCCGTTAGGGAAATCAGATTTCATAACAATAATAAACGAAAGAGACAATTGTGCTGCATTGTTAAAAAAAAGATGAATAAAACAAACATTTAAACTTTAGAAAAGTTGCAAATTAAATGGAATCAGAACATGTTTGCAATAACAAAAAGTTTGCTGTTGACAGAATATTAATTAAAGATCTCTGCATCAATTATTTGGGATATTATAGTTTCTTGTCCTGCTGTGTTAAAAACAATACCAATACATCCTGATCTTGATCCTGATCCTTAAATCTTTGTGAACTCTGGCCTGGATTAAACCTTAATCGTTTTTATTACTTCAATAATATAAACGGGTTACATCCAACTAGCGTGACAACTCAGTGTCAAATTATATAAAGGCAACATCTCACTGTTTATCAATTCATACAGACTAATCACCTATAGATAATTTCCTATGACAATCAAGCGTCATAAAGCCATTATAAGGCAAAAAGTAAAAGATAATATTTTTATTTTACTTGTTTTTTGGATTGTAAAAAAGTTCTGTCTGTTAGTACCCATGAAAAGAAGAGAAACAAACGCCGTTTTAAGAAAAACAGACGAGTATTTTTTGCAAACGTAACAATATAATATGTATTGAATGGCAAAAATAGCTATCTTTACTAGTCAAAACTTTGAAAATACCGTTTAGTGCAACAACATTACATATAAAACCGGATTAATAAATGTCTATAATTTCTAAAAATCATATGAAGTGGTATAATACGACGGGAAGAAATTTATACAATCAAGTACACCGTGTAATCACCTTACTAATGAAATAAGAAATAAATTAGTAAATTTATTAGTAAATTTATTAATACAAATACACGTATATTAAGTAGATTTGTACTTTTCTTTTAATAATTTCATCTTTCTTTTTATATGCTATTTTGTACATTATACTTATTCTAGAAACGGCCAATAAGTCTGCTTCATGTGATTAGATATTCAGCAAGATAACATTTTTAATGGTTAGACAATAAGAAAGGAATATTCTTTATAACAGAATGGCACAGGAGTCATGTGTAGGGTTTATCTGCATGTCCTTTTTAAATGGAATAACACTTTTTTTCAGATTGCAAAATACTTACTAGTTGAAGGTTAATATATGTCCTGTTTTGTTCTGATGATACAGTTTCAATTCAGACTAAATGTGCGTGTTCTATACTTTTGTAAATACTATAACACAGTAATGACATTGAACATTTATATCTAATTGTCTTACTTGGGCGAGCGACATAGGCTGTAACTGATTGTAGACTGTCTTTTAGGAAACGTTGTTAATCAAAACATTCATGTTCTCCGTGATGATGAAACATTAAAAAGGATATAAACTAGACAGGTATATTTGTGTAACGTCACCTCTAGGAGGTGTACTGCTTCATTGACTGCCGTACTGTACTAGCGTTCCGTAAAGACGGAATTTATACTTATCAAGTTATCTAAAGTTATCGCCCTTTGAAATGTTTACGACGTTTGTAATCACGTTTTGCGGATGCAGTCCAGGACTGCCGTTACAAAACAAACAAATATTATAGTCTTATGGCCCCCTTGGTGTAAGTTTGACTGGTTTTTGTTACTTCTATGTTTAATGATAATTGCCTACATGTAAATTGTTTTGATAAGATCTTAATTTAGCTTGTATAACTGAATCTACGGTCAAATTTTCTAAGGCTTCAATAAAAGCCAGTATACGGTATAGAATTGTCCGGTCGATGGTTTAGGTCAGAGTTCACTAAATTTTAGGTTGTACACCCATGACTGTTTTATCATTATTGTTTATTATTATTCAGTAAGCATTGTATAAGACTGTTTAATATTGAAACTATAGTGCGAGACTGATTGCTGTAATTTGTTCAGACAATTGTATGTTAAGGTGCATAATACTTATGGTATCTTTTCATTTGTATTTTTCAGTGATTTACTGATTGATTGATTATATACAAGGAACAGTAAAGTTAAGAACTTATCAGCGTCTTTGTTTATAAAGTCCTGGACTTTCATAGTAAATCAACCACACACCAGCCATGGCAGACTTGAATACGATGCAGACAACTGACACAGAAACTGAAGAGAAGAGAGTGAAAAGACTTACAGAAAAGTCAGAAAAACTGTATGAAGAAAATGTAGAAAAATATAGAAAGAAACTAATGAGTTATAGAAGAGAAATAGAAGAGATAATACTGTTGTATAAGAATACAGAAGAACTGACTAAAAATGATTCTGTTGAAATGCGCAACAAATTGAACAATTATTATGACAATTATGATATGATAGTTCAAGAGTATCATAACTATCTGGAAAGGAAAGGAACTGAACAAAGCCTAAAAGAGTTAGCAAGCGAAAAGGTTATACACAGAACTACTGCTGAAAAGGTCGTTATGATTTTGACAGAAATAGAAATGAGTATAAAGAATGTATCAGTTCACATCCCAAGTATAGTGCCATCTAGAACTTCAACCAAATCATCAAGTGTAAAATCTCAGAAAAGTAATATCTTAATTGCAGAACAAAAGGCGAAGCTCGAAGCGGCGAAAACAAAACTGGAATACGAGAAGAAAGAATCTGCCTTAAAGGAAAAAATGGCTTCACTAGACTCAAAATTATCTTTGTTGAACAATGAGAAAGAAGTAGCTATAGAATTGACAAAATTAGAAACTCTCGAGGAACATCTAAGTGAAAACTCGCATTCTGAAGCAAGTGTGAAATCAGAGATATTTGGAAAAACAAATCATTGTAGACTTAGTGATGTATCGGGTTTACCAAGGAGAATTAATTTAATGACACCAAAACCAGCTATTCCACTACGTGAGCCAATGTTTGACGAGATCTCTCATTTAAATCCCAATGCAAAACCGTTTGCACCACAGTTGTCAGATTTATCTGTGTTCCTGTTGAAAAAGGACTTGATGATTCAACGACTTAACACTTATAATGATAAACCAGAACAATTTCAACTCTGGAAAGCAAATTTCAAGAACATTATGAATGAGTTGAACGCATCACCGATCGAAGAGTTAGATCTATTGTTAAGATATCTTGGTCCTAGATCGAAAGAGCAGGCGCAAAACATCGCACAGTCGAACCCGAATAACAAATCTAAAGCCCTGCAGTTAATATGGGAACGGTTATTCGAAAGATTTGGAGCTCCAGAACTTATAGAAAAATCATTAAAGCAAAGGATCGACAGTTTTCCACGCATTAAAGATAATAGTGAATTATACGGACTCGCTGATTTGTGTCGAGAAATCGAATCTACAAAAAATGATGAGCGTTATACACATCTGTTGAGCTATTTTGAGTCGTCAACTGGAGTCAGACCCATCCTTGAAAAATTGCCGTTCCATATTCAGAACAAATGGATGTATAGAGCCACAAATTACAAAAGAGCTAACCAAGTTTTATATCCACCATTCAGCGTATTTTGTACCTTCCTTGATGAGATTAGTACAATGTTTAATGATCCGGGGTTATCTGTGTCCTACGTGAAATCTAATGAGAGAAAACCTAGTCAAAATCAAACATTTAGTGTTCGTAGTCAAAACCAAACTGTTAATGTCAGGAAAACTGTAACTGATGCCTCTCATGTACAATGTGTAGAGTTCATGCCAAACTGTTGTCCAGTACATAATAATGCAAAATCACACACTCTTAACAATTGTATGACATTTTTGCAAAGGTCTGTCTCAGAACGTAAAAGATTCCTAAGAGACAATAATATTTGTTTTAAATGTTGTAACTCCAACAAACATACATTTAAATCATGCACTTTCACAGGACCATGTGACGAGTGTGGCAGTCAACGCCATCCTGCAGCACTTCACTACTTTCAAGCGGAACAATCAACAACAGGCAGTGATCGTCAAGGGAAGCAACCCAGTAAAGACTATGGCAGGGAGCGACCTGCAGTAACCCCCCCTGTAAAACCCACATTTGAAACAAAACCCCTACCTCAAGATCAAAGACCCCCCTCAATAGTCACTGGAAGATGTACAAACATTTGTGGTGATGGTTTTGTTGGTAAATCTTGTTCAAAGACATTGCTAGTAAATATATATCCAAACAACCATCCCGAGTTATCAAGGTCGGTGTACTGTATTGTTGATGATCAAAGCAATAGAACATTGTGCAAGTCGAAAATGTTTGATTTGTTTAGCAATGTACCAGTAGGTAATGAAAATTATGAACTTAACTCATGTTCAGGATCCTCTGCGTGTAATGGCAGAACTATTGACAATATGACAGTTTCATCTATAGATGGACAATTCTGTACAAAACTCCCACCCATACTAGAATGTGATAGCATTCCGGACTCGCGGTTGGAAATCCCTACACCGGATATAGTAAAATACCACCAACACCTGTCAGATGTCCCCATTCCCAGGTTGCGTGAGGACTGTGAAATAGTGCTTCTCATAGTACGTGACGTAGCAGAGGTGCACCATGTATTTGAACAACGTATATCCCCTGAGAAGCCAGGTGCCCCCTTTGCTCAGCGTCTAGGTTTGGGATGGGTAGTCATTGGTGAAGTTTGTTTGTCATCGCACAGACCACCAGTACGGACTATGAAGACTTATGTTTGCGAAAGTGGAAGACCGTCCATATTTGAACCATGTAGTAATAAGATTACCGTTAAACATTGTCACCTTGACCAGGTCGGGGCTAATGACATATTTGTTCATACAAAGAATGATGATAAGCCAGGCTTATCTTTAGAAGATAAGGAGTTTCTTAAACTTATGGACACACAATTTCATAGAGATAATTCTGGTCACTGGACTGCACCATTGCCATTTCGTACGCCACGCATCAAATTACCGAACAATCGATCAGAAGCCTATCGTAGGGCTAAGACTTTTGAAAGTTCGCTTAAAACGAGATCGACTTAAATTGCAGCACAGTCTAGATTTTATGGAAAATCTACTTAACAAAGGCTATTGCGAACGTGCTCCCCATCTTGAAAATGAAGAATGTTGGTATCTTCCATTATTTGGTGTATATCACCCGAAGAAAAAGGACAAAATTCGTATTGTGTTTGATTCGTCAAGTAAGTTTGATGGAGTGTCCTTGAACAGCGTGCTCATGACTGGTCCAGATTTAACAAATAGCCTGACTGGGATACTGATGAGATTCAGAAGAGATAGAATAGCAGTATCTGGGGATATAGAACAGATGTTTTACCAATTCCGGGTTGATGAAACACATCGCAATTACTTACGGTTCCTCTGGTATGAAGACAACGACTTCAATAAACCATTAATTGAGTATCGCATGTGCGTGCATGTTTTTGGAAATGCCCCCTCACCTGCAGTGGCAACATATGGCCTCCAACAATCAGCCAAAAATGCTGCAGAAACCTATGGTGAAGCTATGTTAGATTTCGTCTGTAATGACTTCTATGTTGATGATGGTTTGTCTTCACTTCACACAGAGAGAGAAGCTGTATCGTTACTGACTAACACAAAAGAAGCTCTACAAGAAGAAGGAAATCTACGGTTTCATAAACTGGTGTCAAATAGTACAAGGTTTTGGAAAACTTTAGTGAGGAAGATCTAGCTAAAGATATCAAATCTAAAGATTCTCCTGTACATAGAAGCCTAGGACTTACTTGGAGACTTGATGATGATTCATTCACATTTCAGCTTGACAGAGATGAGAAACCAACATATACTAAACGAACTGTGCTCGGAATTATCAATAGCCTTTACGATCCGTTAGGCTTTTTATCACCTTTCACGATAACTGGTAAACTATTGCTACGAGATATCACTGACAGTGTTCAGGATTGGGACGAACCATTGCCTGACTATCTGCACAAGAAGTGGTTGTCATGGTTCCAAAGTCTGCAAGATCTTCAATATCTTAGGATACCAAGAACCTATTTTCCTCCTAGTGTGAAATTTGGCGCTGAGAAGGAACTCCATGTATTCTGTGATGCTTCTGAGAAAGCTATTTCTAATGTTGCATACCTTAAAACTGTTGGAAATGAAAGTACCAATGTTGGATATGTGTTCGGTAAAGCCAAAGTAGCACCCAAACATGGACATACTATACCCAGATTAGAACTGTGTGCAGCTGTTTTGGGAGTGGAAATTGCTGAAATGATTTGTGAAGAGTTATCCATTTCACCTGAGAATATAACATACCACACTGACAGTAAAATTGTACTTGGATACTTAAATAATAAGACCAGAAGATTCTATGTCTATGTAGAAAATAGAGTTTCCAGAATTCTTAAATTTTCCAAGTCATTGCAATGGAAATACGTAGAAACAGATAGAAATCCTGCTGATGAAAGTACCCGTGGTTTGAAACCTTCGGAACTGGTGCACTCTAAATGGTTGTCAGGACTACCTTTGTTATCATTACCAGAATCTTCCGAGCAATATGACTTACAAAATCCTAATGAGGATGTTGAAGTTCGATCCTCAGTGACAAGCATGAAAACTGAAGTGAAATTTGGAATAAATCGCTTTGAAAAGTTCTCAACTTGGAAGAGACTTGTCCTTGCTATATCTACTCTCTTGAAATTTGTCAGGCGTTTTAAGAAGAGGCATACTTCAAGTAGTGACAATTGTCAGTCACAGATACTTCCCGAGCAGGAAATTGATGCCAAAACTTTCATTATCAAACAAGTGCAAAAGGAGATATACCACAAGGAAATATCATGTTTGAAATCTGACAAAAAGTTACCTAAACAAAGTAATGTGTTGGATCTTGCACCATTTATTAATAAAAATGAAGAAATTCTCAGAGTTGGAGGAAGACTGAAATCTTCTCAACTACCTAAAGGTGAAAAACATCCTATTCTTATACCTGGACGATCACATACAGCTACTTTACTGGTTCGACATTATCATGAAAAGGTCCACCACCAAGGACGTCATATTACAGAAGGCGCCATTAGAACAGCCGGTTATTGGATAACTGGTGGCAAGAGACTGATAGCTAACCTTATCCACTCATGTGTGCAGTGCCGTAAACTCAGAGGTTCATTCTCCTCTCAAATGATGTCTAACTTACCTGCTGATAGAATCACACCTGCTCCGCCCTTTACCTTTGTTGGAGTCGATGTGTTTGGCCCCTGGAATGTTATTACCCGTCGTACAAGGGGCGGAAGTTCTACATCAAAACGTTGGGCAGTTCTCTTTACTTGCTTGTCAATCAGAGCCATACACATTGAACTGGTAGAAGAGATGTCATCATCAGCGTTTATCAATGCTCTGAGACGATTACTTCACTAAGAGGTCCGGTCAAAATCTTTCGATCAGATCGAGGGACTAATTTTGTTGGAGCTACGGAAGATTTGGGGATCGAAGCTGTCAACGTTGAAGACAGAAAATTTGCTAACTACCTACACGTGTCTGGAAGTGTTTGGATTTTTAACCCACCTTATTCTTCTCACTTTGGAGGTGTTTGGGAGAGAATGATAGGAGTTACTCGCCGTATTTTGGATGCTATTCTACTCGAAAACAAAAACAAGCACCTAACGCATGAGGTGTTGTCAACATTCATGGCAGAAGTTTGTGCAATTGTGAACGCGAGACCTATCACACCTGTTTCATCAGACCCAGAGAACCCATTTATTCTGTCCCCCTCTGTGCTTCTTACACATAAAAGTGCAAATAGTCCTGTTTCAATGTTCGATCATTTAGATACAAAAGATATGTATAAAGCACAGTGGAAGTGCGTTCAAGTTTTAGCTGAATCTTTCTGGAAAAGATGGAGATTGGAATACTTGTCACAATTACAACCACGCAGAATCTGGAAAAATCAATCTGAAAATATCAAGTTAGGTGATCTAGTGCTCTTACGCGATAAATCGGTACATAGAAATGACTGGCCCATAGGCATTGTGAAAAAGGTGTATCCAAGTGATGATGGGCTTGTTAGAAAGTGTTCTGTAGAAGTTATGAAAGATGGAAATAAAACTGAATACACTCGTCCAATTGTTGAGCTAGTAAAGCTCCTAGAGTAACTGTTAATCATCAGTGAGGTTCATTTCCAGTTTTAGATGTAGTATGATTTTGCTTGTTGTATCAAGAATTGCCATTTTGACTAAAGCATTATATTGTTAATATAACAAAGAACTTGAGATATTTCCTGTACAATTTATGTGATTTTCTGTACAGAACTTTTCCTTTTGATATAATTGATTTATAGTCACTATATTGCACTGTTCAAACTTCAGATATTTCTACCAAGTGTATGAACTTTCAGATTTGATGAACAGTACATATTTGTAGAGTTTCTGAGCATGAAACTATGCTTGTGTTTGTATACAATGATGTAATCTTATGGTACAGTAACTGAGGCATTTAATGGTATAGTTAGAATTGATGAAAGTACAATAATTCTCACTAGTCAGTATTTTGTATTACAATTTTTGAGCCTACATTTAGTTGTATTTTTTCTGTACGGTTGCTTGCGATTTTTTGTATGATAACTTGCGAGCAGAATTTTTGTTATGCCTTTGCAATTCTTTTTTTACATTTTTGTTTTGCAAGTACTTGTTTATGTTATATAGTGATACAATTCAAAGTAAATTATATCAGGCAGGGAGTGTAACGTCACCTCTAGGAGGTGTACTGCTTCATTGACTGCCGTACTGTACGAGCGTTCCGTAAAGACGGAATTTATACTTATCAAGTTATCTAAAGTTATCGCCCTTTGAAATGTTTACGACGTTTGTAATCACGTTTTGCGGATGCAGTCCAGGACTTCCGTTACAAAACAAACAAATATTATAGTCTTATGGCCCACTTGGTGTAAGTTTGACCTGTTTTTGTTATTTCTATGTTTTATGATAATTGCCTACATGTAAATTGTTTTGATAAGATCTTAATTTAGCTTGTATAACTGAATCTACGGTCAAATTTTCTAAGGCTTCAATAAAAGCCAGTATACGGTATAGAATTGTCCGGTCGAAGGTTTAGGTCAGAGTTCACTAAATTTTAGGTTGTACACCCATGACTGTTTTATCATTCTTGTTTTATTATTCAGTAAGCATTGTATAAGACTGTTTAATATTGAAACTATAGTGTGAGACTGATTGCTGTAATTTGTTCAGACAATTGTATGTTAAGGTGCATAATACTTATGGTATCTTTTCATTTGTATTTTTCAGTGATTTACTGATTGATTATATACAAGGAACAGTAAAGTTAAGAACTTATCAGCGTCTTTGTTTATAAAGTCCTGGACTTTCATAATTTGAAATAATGAGTTTATGATGTCATATGTTGTCAATACATAAAATTAATAATACATTATTGATCTAAAAGGCGACGGGCATAAATAATCATTATTATATAAAAATAACATTTTAATAAATGTATTGTAGTTATATTACATCACAAATTTGCACTACGCGGCATATACATCCAAAATTTTCTTTAGTTCTCTAAGGTATTTGGAAAAGAAAGGAGACTATTACGCCGTATAATTCATTTTGTACTTAGCAGTCATTTCAAAAAGGGTTCTTATGTATTCAACTGATATATGCAACAGTAATACCAGGAGGTATGTAAAATGAAGGATTTTCATAAAGTTGAACATGATTTCTCATCGACAATCAACGAAGACGAAGAAGATCGAATTTTAACCTGGTTTGCAAATAGTTCATTAAACAGCACGTCACATTCAAATAAAAGTACATATCATCGTAGGAAACGGCAATGTGCTCTTAAAACATTTTCACTTTATTATTTTAATGAACCTTTTAGCACTTGTTTAACGTCGTGCTGTCTGTTAGGTTTTCATTTGGACGTCATATGCGCCATTATGTGCCATTCTGAACGACATTTATAGATATTTCCGTTGGTAACGTGTATTATTGATTGTTATCATTATCGTTATCAAATTGTTTATTTGTGCAAATTGAAGAAGCCATAGGTTTGTTTTTGTTCTTTTGACAAATTGAAATGAATTTATAATACAAAGTGACTTTATCGGTAAATTTGTGCAGTCGAAATATAAAAACATGCCATTAATATGACTTTTCGTCCACGTTTTTAATAAAAAAGAAAAATGAAACTACACTTAATATGGTGGCTTCTGCCTCCTTTTATTTTTGAATAATAATATGGTACAAATTAAAAGAAACTGAAACAGTTATTGCTGTGGCTACGATTAAAACTCACCTCAGTAATATATTATGAAGAGTCATGATGATACTTCTTGAACATAATATGTTATTCTGTGAGGGATAAATAAATATTATAATGAAAAAGAATTCCAACAATATGCATAAGAGGGCTTTTGTCCTTTAGCACTGTACTATTTTTCACAAAGATCCCTACGAGTTACACGCTAATATTTTGTGGCAATATTTATGTTATGTTACCTGTTTTTACAGTTTTATTAAAAGCAAATAATGTTTTTCTTGTAAATCACGACTTGATTTTTCTTCTTTAAGTTTATAGAAATAACTTTTGTATAACTGCGCAGAATTATCCAGTCCTAACAAAATGCGAAATATTTTTATATTTAGGAAGTCTCAATAAGTAAAACATAACGGAACATTTCAATGTTGTAACATTTTATTTGAAATCGACAGAACAACTGAATCTAACTAGATTCACACATAATCCACATAGTCTATGGGATACGTAGTTATCTAAAGCAGAACAAAAGCACTTTTCATTGATTTCGACTCAAAATATCAAATTTGAATGCAAACATTTTCTTATATTCATGTTCTACAACATTGAAACAAATTATAAAAAGAACGGAAATAGAAAAGTTCACGATTTGATACAAATTATTATAACATTGATGAATAAAGAAATGAGAAAGTCGAAAAATAAATGTCTTCTTATGATAAAGAATAATTAGTAAGTGCAAGATGTAAAACAACTGAAATATGTATAGAAAAATGATATATAAGGATAATGAATAACTAGAGGATTGTCAAAATACATAGAATTTCCTTGTAACTTCTATATATTTAAATGTAAATACATAAGAATTTTTAAGATAGTTACGCCTGCGAGCAGTGAACAATAACAACATAACTAAATAGAAAGGAATTTAAATAGTTGATCAGATTTTTTTTAGTATCACAACATAGCTAAAATAATAATAAAACAATTTTCATCATCACCTCTGGACATATATACGAGTGTAAGCATATATATATATATACGTTTAGTTTGTCATGGTGTAGTGTAACACACGATACAAAGCTTTGTGATTTAAGGATTGACAATATATACTCACAACAATGCCGGGGTGTAATATAGGTTGTACTTTCGGACAATAGGAGGAGAGATAGGCACCATATCTTCAACTTTCTTTGGCTTTTTAAATCCCAAAAGAATGAATCTAAATTTTTACCAAGGTTTAAAGACACGTTATTAAACATTTCGAAAAACATGTCTCCTCGACGTTAATATTATTCATTTTAGACATGCGTAAATGTCAAGGTAAAAATCTTTTATAATATTTCAGTGAATCTTTTTTCTTCTACTATATATATGCTACTTAGTTGCATATGTATACTTAAACATTGTTAATATACCATTCTAAATATCTAAAAACAGGTAAGCCATCAGAAGAATTAAAAACCAAAAAGTTACATGAAAATTGCAGAATTGGTTTTGAGTCAGTACGTGAGGAATAATAAAAAAGGGCAACATCCCTCACGCACCCTAGCATCGAAACTTAAAAGTACTGAACTCAATGATCCCGAAGGACCAGAAAAATATAATAGCACTGAAGTGAAGTACGCGGCAACTTTTTACGGCTTCAAGCTGCTATTGCGAAGCCTAATTTAAGATGTTGAAAAAAAAACATCATGTGATGGCAGTTTTATTCCAATTATCTGATCATCAAACTCATAAATACTCTTAAATATATATCCTTCTCAGTAAGCTGTAGAATTACAACAAATCATATTGAATAAATCCATTGCACATTCTCATAAAAATCACATTTTATTAATAATGCTATTGATTATGAAATAATGGAATCATGAGTCATCAAGTTAACGTTTATAACCTGAATAAGTGTGCATCATGTCAACTTTCTTCTAAACGGAAGGGTAAAAAAAGATTGCTTTCAGAACAACAGTCAATCGGGTTTCTTTAAACGCAATAACTGCTCCCAATTTTATGTATTAGTTTAATCCAATAGAATGCACCTTAATAAGTTATTTTATTAATTTTCAGCAGTTCGTATGCCATCATTATTTTTCATGATATTGAATAAAGGAAGTAGCCAGTAGCATCAATTTTCTGTAAAA